CAGCCGCTCACAACGCCCAAGATGATTGCCGACGGGGAAAAGCTCTGCAAAGGGGGTCCCCACGAGCTCAAGGAGTTGGTGACAAACAAGGCGTTGGCCGAGCTCGGGTACACTTTCTCGCAGTAGAAAAAGGCCCAGCGCTGGGTAGTCCAACTGAGCATTGACGAGGGCCCCTTAGGTCAGCATCACTTCTCCCTCGGTCGTTTCGGGCTACTATCCCTTATTGATATATGAAATTTTCCTAAGTATCCTGCTCACCCTTTTCTTCCGCTGGTGACATCACCACGGCTAGGATGAAGCTCCTTCGTGACAAAAGCAAGGCCTAGAGCTCGCGAGGGCCTTCTAACGTTCTGCCCTTGACGCTGCACCCCAGCCCGTTCGCCGAGGAGGTTCCTCTGACCAAGAAATGACCAAGAAATGCAAGGACGTGGCCTAGGCCACTATGTGGAGGTTTGAATCCCCTCACATGATGGATTTCGGGAACCCGTCTCTAGTCAAGGTGGTGTTCCCTCCTCACCCTTCCTTCCTGCAGGGTGATTATGAGCCACAAACTTTCTTGCAGAGCTTCATCCCCCCGACCGCTAGGTGCTCGGGGCAGCTGAGAGGGACGACTTGTCCTCCACCTTCCTTCGGGAGTTGGGCTCCGTAAGGCTTCTGCAACTTTTCCCGTAGTTTTTGCAGCATCCCAAGTAACGAGATATACGATGCAAGATTCAGAGCTGGTCTCCCATTTGCAGCGGTTTGAGGAAGACAAGGCTAAGGCCAATCGTGACCCTCAACTGGCATGGCCGAGCGACCACCCTTAAGGGGGAACTTGCTGCGTCCGAGGAGCATGCTTGGGCTGCGGAAGAGGAGGCCCGCAAGGCCAAGGAACACCGTCAGAATGCAGTCAAGGTCTTCCAAGCGTCGCCAGCCTTCGCAGAGGCAGCGCTCCCGCGCATGGAAGATCTGTTGAAGGCTGGGGTCGAGACTGCCGTTGGCAAGCGGTTCTCGATCCAGGAGTGAAAATCCTACTTTTCTCTGGGGCTGTCAGCAAGTCTTGCTGCGCCTCATCATCATCCAAATCGTCGCACTCCCGGCCAATGTGCCTCTTATTCGGGTTCCTTCCTTACGTGGCCACAGCGACCGGCTCGGCCAGCTTCCTCCAAGTTCTTCCTTTCGGCGCCCCTCGCGACGGGCTGTAGCGTTCTCCCGAGGAATGGGCCCTCGAGCAATCAGCCGTTGCATCTCCTTCTAGAGCTTTAAGCATTCCTTGGTGTTGTGGGTACCCATTGCGGTGATACTCGCAAAACTTCCCCTCATCGGCCACCACATAGGTCTCCACGTGGGGAAGTGGGGAAAGACCAAGCTCTTGACCTGCCCCCACAGCTGCCTCTATGGAATAAACTTCAACTGCTGGTGTTCTGGGACCAGTGGTGTAATCCTTTTTCTTCTTTCTCTTCTTCGAAATATCCCCCAAATAAGTTGAGGCTCGCTTGGCCAGCGCAGCCTCGGTGTAGGGAGCATCGTCGAACTTCTCAGAAGCTAAGAACTTAGCGCATGCCACGCTCTCTTGATATGTATGTGGAGGATTCTTACGAAGCTCCTTCCTCACCTCGCCTCAGGGAAGGGCTGCCTGGGACATGGAAACCAGGGCTTGGTAGTCCACCCCGTGGACGCCACGGGCCTCCTTCTCCCTTCGAACTTTGAAGTTCTGAACCTTCTCCCCTTGGCGAATGCAAATGTTGAGGAGATGGGGGTAGGGTAGCCTTTGCCTGTGATTGGCCGCGAAGTGGGTAAGAAACTTCTCCGCCAAGGTATCCTAGTCATCAATGGTTCCCTTCGGCAATCGATTGAACCAATCACACGCCGTGCCCTCTAGCATGGCCAGAAAACATCAGCACTTTACCTTGTCGGCCGCCGCCGCCGCTTCCATCGAAGGGTAGAACTTGGACAGGTGGTCTTGTGCAAAAAGTTGCTGCTAGGTACCCTGTGTTTTGGTATAAGAAGCATTAAGTACCTTTAGTTTTCAAAATATACTCACAAAAAATTTAACATTTTAAAAAAGTTGACAAGAAAAATATGAACCCCTCTCGTTCTCTATTTTTCTAGCATTTCTATCTTCAAGCTTCATTAGATCAATGTTCCCTCATGGTGTGGCCACCTGAAAATTTTGATCCAATAATATTGCCATCAGTGCTCCACTTGAATATTGACTAAACTTTAGCCTCTCATTAAGGACAGAAATAAATTGCAAAACGTCTTGATTGAGAGATACTCGCAGCAACTGTTAGAGCCATAAATAAATAGATGTATAAGGAACAACCAATTAATGACAAAAATTGCTTTAAGGGTGTACATGAAGGATCACATTAAGATGAGATACATCCATAGTAACTTAAGAGATGAATGCATATGGATTTGGATTTATGCAAGGGGAAATTATTCATTTAAAATACCTGAGTTCCAGAAGCGAAATTACAATTAAAATGTTATGAACATACAAAAAATTTAACATTTTAAAAAGTTGGCAAGAAAAATATGAACCCCTCTCGTTCTCTATTTTTCTAGCGCTTCTATCTTCAAGCTTCATTAGATCAACATTCCCTCATGGTGTTGCTCACTCCATAAAAAATCTTGGGGAGAGATTCTAATTGTTTCCTTTCCATTCCCATTGTTAGTTTATGAAGAGAAACAATATCAGAAATAGAGTTGGCCATCAAATGCATAAATCACATGAACAATGTCACCGGTGGCAACAATGCTACAGAACTTGCAAGAAAAGAGAATGAAGCCATTTTCGGATTAATACCTTGAATTCATGCTTTACGTATTAGAAAAATAGAAACCAATCATTTCAGCTATAGAATTAGTAAGTGAAAAACAACCACAAAGGATCATCACATTTATCTGTTTTGTTGTGAAGAATGTAAACAAATACTACAAACATAAGCTAAGTTAAACTAATAGATACTTTTATAATTTTAAAGGCAAATCTCTCTAGAACTATAATTTTAAAGGTGAATCAAGGAAGCCATTATAACCTTAGTTTATGTTTTGGGATGCCATTTAATCGAAGATTGTTGATGATATATTGTACTTTCATCTAACATCAAGCAAAAAAAAACGAAAAAAAAACTTTGAGATAATAGATNCAATGCTACAGAACTTGCAAGAAAAGAGAATGAAGCCATTTTCGGATTAATACCTTGAATTCATGCTTTACGTATTAGAAAAATAGAAACCAATCATTTCAGCTATAGAATTAGTAAGTGAAAAACAACCACAAAGGATCATCACATTTATCTGTTTTGTTGTGAAGAATGTAAACAAATACTACAAACATAAGCTAAGTTAAACTAATAGATACTTTTATAATTTTAAAGGCAAATCTCTCTAGAACTATAATTTTAAAGGTGAATCAAGGAAGCCATTATAACCTTAGTTTATGTTTTGGGATGCCATTTAATCGAAGATTGTTGATGATATATTGTACTTTCATCTAACATCAAGCAAAAAAAAACGAAAAAAAAACTTTGAGATAATAGATGAAAAAGAACAAAATAACTGAACTTAATTGAAGATGATTTTTGATGGGTATAAAATTTTTACAAAAAATAATGAGAATATTATTTTTTAAGGAAATAATGAGAATATTATTTTTTTAAAGGAAATGAACTGTTCTACCTCGAAAGCAAAGAAACCACCCGGTTTCCGCACTGAAGTAGCTCCCTTGCAAAGATGCAAAAGATCTTTTAAACCATCTGGTCCACCATTCAACGCCAGTTTTGGTTCATGTTTAGCAACTTCAGAAAAAAGGTTCTCCAAGAAATTTCAATTGTTTGAAGAACTCGATCACGCGTCTTTTCTTTTGACACAATGCAATTCAAATCTAATCAGAGAAAGAAATTGAAACGGAAGCAATTTAACAAGTAAAGTGTCATGAATCGTAAATCAATTTAGGCATAGCATATTTGAAAATATTATCTGAAATTCAAAAAAAAAAACTATTTATGCAATTAACATGTGGAGAAGGAGATGAATTTGACTTACTATGGACGGCGGATCGGGCAGCGTAGGATGGAGGCATGAAGATGAAGGAGGGAGGAAGAGAGAGGTGGAGGCTGGATGGTGGGTTGGAGCAGATCAGCGAGGGTGTTAGAAAAGAGAAGGAAGAGATGGAAATCGTCCCTTCAATCATCATGGATTTCTTGACGGTTAGATTTTGTCAATTGCGAATGAAATTAGACCGTCAGATTGGAGCAAAAATTGGATGGAAGTTTACTCAATTTTGATTCTACTTTTATATCTATAATAGATTGATTATGAGATTTATGACTACTAATTGATTAAAGATTTGAAGTGATAAGTATTAATGTGCAATTTAATGTTAATTTGTATAATTAATCTTTAGTTTTAACTTATAATTTACAACACAAAGGTATATAAAAAAGTAACCTAAATTCAAAGAATTGGAGTCGAGTGGAAGGGGTGATAGTGTTGAGAATTATATCATGGATGTCTGCTCTGAAAGTAGATTTGGTGGTTTAAAGAGTATTGTTGAGCTCTCTATGAAAACGGTGTCCACTAAAAAGTCTCTTACGTATAGTTCTGTATGTACTCTCATAAAGGCATTGATACTTCATGTTGCAACAAGTGTTGAACATGCTTTTTCCTGAATGAAGTTTGTGAAGAATGAGTTAGGGAATAAAATATATGATCAATGGTTGAATGATTACTTAGTAATATATGGGGAGATGGATCTCTTTTCTACTATTAGTGATGATGTAATTATAGATCATTTTCAAAATAAAAAAATCAAGAGTCTAGTTGTAAAGGATATTATTTTCATATGATTTTGTAATTCGTATTAATTCTAGTAGTATTCAAATATTAGTTTTAGTTTATTGTTAAATGGTATGAATTAGTTTGAGACATGATTCGGATGTAGGGGACCCCATGGTCATGAAATCCTGGATCCGCCTCTGTAGCTCAATACTTAACAATGGTTTTTGGTGCAGTTTGTAGAGTGTGAATCTCACTGGATTAATCAAAATGCATGGAAAGAAAGGGTGCGAGTTAGTGAAAGAACTTGCAGACGGCGAACCTGGGCAGCTTGCAGCGTACAATGCAAGAGCCCTTTCAACCTATATTACAATTTGTTATTCTGTTGCTGCATTTGACTTACTACTTTCATCTGTTATTGTTTTTAACGTTTACTGAATGGAGAGGTGAAATATATACTTTGTGATGTGCATCAAGATTTTGCACAGGTGTTCTTTAATTTTATGTTTTCACTTCTTGCGTCATACTACCCTTTTGGTAGTTTCTTTTATTCAGATTTAGAAGACAACTTAGAGGCAATGTTTTTTCCTTAATTTAGATGTTAAATACCTTCGATGTTTTATGAATTGGGTTTTTTCCGTTCTTATGCAGAATGATCTATTTTCTCAAGTAGTTGAAGAATGTAACAGCCATTTCCTTCACCTACGATCCCTGATGAGGTAACACTTGAAGTACCCGTGCTTCTTAGGTTTTTTCATACTGGTCCCCAGCCATGTTGATGTGTATATTTTTATAATATTCTATATTTTGCATGCTGCCCGTGCCTGGTATGACTGTGATAGACTTCATTGCTTGACACAAAGATACAAGTGTCCTAGAGTGCATATGATATTGTTGAGGAACTGGAAGGGGGCTGTTGCATTCATAATAGCAAACACGTTTTCGAGCAGCAAGCCTTTTTTTTATTTTGTATGGCCTTTCCAATTGTAACTAGATTGGATATTACTGATCTTAGCTATCCCTCCCTTCGTACGGAAATTTACTTCCTATTTGGGTTTAAGAGGTTTGACTGAAGTTATGTTCAATTCAATTTATTTGGTTGTAATTGTAAAATTCAAAAATAAATTTTATATGCTACGAGTAGTATTTAAAAACTACATAAAAAGTTTTTCAAGACAAGAGGTGGCATGACTGTATTATATTATGAAATTAGTAGTGAAGATAAGCAAACATAGTGAATAGTGAACGGGAAGAACATTTTTGGACGGAGGGAGATCATAATATATATATATATATATATATATATATATATATATATATATGTATATATCTATGGTTTTCCGAACTGCAGTTTTTCTTTGTATTATATTGCTAATGTCTTCTTCATTCTTAGTTTCATGTTCTTTTTAAAATATGGTACGACAATTAATCTCTCATGTGTGCTTTTCAAATGAATTTTTGAAGTCTTATCTCAAGGTCAGTTAGCTTAAATATCTCTTGAAAATGGTGAAGCCATTGTGAATTGTGATCATGGTGTTTTAGGAAATAGAGCAATTGAAGCAACCTTGGACATATTCTACACTAATGCTCATGAACGTACTTCCTTGGACAATTTCATTTTTGTTACAATTTATTGCACTTCAGGTGTTGTGTGTATGCTCCATTACTTTGAAATCTTGCTCTCTGCTTCTTATGTTTGCTCTTACTACGGTGCACTAAAACTATTTTACCTCCAGCTCTACTTCATTTGAAAATTCAAGTAGTCAACAACCATCTGATGATGCTGATTACTATGGTTTGCTGGTTCACCACCAGTCTCTGATCCGCAACAAACGATGTCTCATGGCTTATGTGTAAATACACTTTTACACTTATACCCTTTATTTTCTGTTTACTTTTTACTTGAACATATGACTTCTGCAGTAGTACATTTCCTTTATCAACCAATCTTCTCTGATTTCTTCTGGTGATAGATACAACCGCTCAGAAATTATTCGCATTTTGAGTTGGACCCTTGAGCCTGTACTCCCTGAACAAATCGAGGAGAAGCTTAGCAATTCTGAAAAGGAATATTTCAAGAATCACTCTGCAACCCTACAATCATACATGGCAGAACTTGATCTGGACTTGGGTGTGGTAAGGAAACTCTTCTATATTTTTTTTTGAAGGAAAAAACTCACATATGATTAATCAAAGACGGAAAAAAGGAGGAACAGAGTCCCAGTACATAGTTTGGGGTTGGGAATAGGCCATGGTAGCCAAAAGATGGGCTAGAGAGTTTGTAGAGCGGGGAACAAACGAAACTGAACAATTAGTAAAAGTACGAAGTAACACCTTGCACTCATGGAAAGAGATGCCAATGTAAGCCCGGGAAGTAGTAGAAGCCGAGCCCAGATAATGACAAAGAGTAGAGCAATCCGAGAAAAGACGGACATTGGAAGTGTCCCTAGCTTTCAACCAGACCAAGGTTTCCTTGCATGCTAATGTTTCAGCCATCAACGGGGATAATACATCAAAGAGAGGACCATTCATAGCCGCCACAAACCTGCCCTCATGAGACAAAAGCACTGCCCCGAACGTTGCCCTGCCTGTCCGCTCCTTGAAGCCTGCATCAAACCAGCAGGTAAACTCAAAATCAGACCCCTGTGGTACAGCTTGGAGGTGTTGCCTCAGATCGGGTTCGGGAGGAGGAGCATAGAAGTGCACCAGATGATGCCATGCTTCCAAATTATGCGCTGCCAGATTCCAAGTTTGACTAGGCAAGGGTAGTTTCAACTCCCAAACCACTGAGTTCCTGGCCTGCCAAATTCCAGAGAGAACAGCTGCAACCACCTCCAATTGAGCACCATCCAGCATAGACCAAACTTTCTTGCTTTGTAGATCCTAGCAACCAACGACTGCGGCTCCGTCAGAAAGCGCCACCCTTGCTTACCCAACAGAGCTAAATTGAAAGCCCGTAAATCCTTGAAGCCCAATCCCCCGAATTTTTTCGGGACACATAAACGATCCCACGCCATCCAATGGATTCCTTTGCTATTGTTCCCACCTGAACTCCACCAGAACCGGTTCATCATGCGCTCAATAGATAAACATAGTGAGTCCGGAAGCAAGAACACACTCATTGAGAAAGTAGGCATTGCCTGGGCAACACTTTTAAGGAGAATTTCTTTACCTGCTTTAGTTAACAACTTTTTGTTCCATGCCCCAATCCTCTGCTTGATTTTATCCTCGATATACGAGAAAACAGCACGTTTATTACTTCCAATGAACGAGGGTAATCCAAGATATTTTCCAAAATTATCCGCTTTAGAGACCCCAAGTAGACCCGCCACAAGGTCTCTTGTCTCCTCCGTGGTATTCCGACTGAAACTAATATTAGATATGTGAAAATTGACACACTGGCCAGAGAGACTCATAATTTTGGAGGCACTGTTTGATGACTCCAGCTTCCTCGACATTTGCTTTAAAATACAGTAGGCTTTCATCTGCAAAAAACAAGTGTGAAACCGCTGGTGCCCCCCTAGCGACCCTGCATCCATGAATGGCTCCAACTGTCTGAGCCTGCTGCAATAAGAGAGAGTCCCTCAGCACACAAAATAAAGAGATACGGAGATAAAGGATCTCCTTGCCTCAATCCCTGCGTTGGAATCACCTGACCTCCAATACTACCATTGATTTGAATATTATAAGTAACAGTAGTAACACATCTCATCACCAAGTTGACCCATCTCGCGTTGAAACCTAGTGCCAACATCATGCTCTTCAAGAAAGGCCATTCCATCCTATCGTAAGCCTTGGCCATGTCGAGCTTGAGTGCACTCCACCCGACTTTACCAATCTGCTTCCTGTTCAAAAAGTGCCCAATCTCTCCCGCAACAAGGATATTTTCTATGATAAGTCTTCCCGGAACAAAAGCACTCTGAGACTCGGAAATCACCTCTCCCAGCAAGGGTTTCATCCGATTCGCAATCATCTTCGCCATTACCTTGTACACAACATTACACAGAGCAATCGGCCTTAAATCTGAGACCATTTCCGGGTCTTTCTTCTTGGGAATAAGAATAATGTTGGTATCATTAAGCCCACTTGGCCAAGAGCCCAAATTCAGACAGTCAAGTACAAAGCTCACAACATCATCACCCACAATGTCCCAAAAATGCTGATAAAACCCCGGATTAAAGCCATCAGGACCCGGTGCCTTATCGGGGAACATACTAAAAAGAGCAGATTTGACTTCCTCCTTCTCGAATGGAGCTTCCAACTGAGCATTATGGGAATCATGAAGTTATTGGTACCAGATCTCGATAAACAGAAAACAGAAATCTAGAACAAGAACTTATTGGAAATCCTTCTCCAATTAATTGAAAAACTTTGAATACATAAAATACAGAGAAACTATCCCTATTTATAGATGAGTTAACCTTGTCCACCAAGTTAAATCATCAGCCTTGCTCTCCAAGCATAACATCTCCTACTCCTACAAGCTATGATAATCTCAAATCCATCTGAGATATATCTCCTAAAATTATGACTGACTCTACCCTAATTATTAACAAATAAAGACTTCAACATAATTACAAAATAAACCCCCTAACTATTACTGAATGTCAAGATTGGTCCAACAAATCAGACACACGAGGAGTGACCGAGGGGAAAAAATTAGCATTCCGAGTAGCGGCCCCA